GTTCTCGAAAGAAATCCCGACTTCAAGCGTCTCTCGGAGATTTCGAGGCAAGACCAATTGACAGATGTGTATAGATTCGCATGCCTCTCCAACGCCGAGGTTGAGAGGACCTTTTCCTTGTACAAGAATTTGTTGTCAGATCGTCGCCACAGATTGACTGAGTTGAATCTCAAACGGTATATGTCGATACAGTTCAATTCGGGTCTGCTCTTTGAAGAATAAGTTAATCGAAAATCTTATCAGAGAAGCGTGTCGAAAATGTATGCATAAAATGGTTTCATAGTCGAATTTGCAATCATTCTTTCTGTCCGGTCCTCTTGTCCGGTTTCGGCTGCAGTGTCCGTCCGATTCATGTCCGGTTTCCGAAGAAAAAATGTCCGGTAGAATAGAAACTCTACGCATCAGTGAATTAGGCAGGAGAGAATCCGCCTTTCCTCCATCAAGGAACCAACGATTCGGTTTTTCCTTTTCTCAAAAGCAAACATGCGCGTTTAAGAATTTAATTGAATGACTCTGTGTCGGCGCTTTGTTCCATCTACGCCTCTCTGAGCGATCATTGTTGGTGTCGTTACATAAGGTGTCACCTGCTCGGTCGCTTTCTTGTCTCGAGTAGCTCGAAGGCCAGCCCGGTGGTCACAGAATTCTCGGACTCTGTCGAGCACTTGTTACAGAAGATGTAAAGACTATCGGACAGAAAAGAATTTCTCCAGACGAATTATAATCTTCTGCTCATAGACTGAGGAGACCTTTTGTGTCCCCTAACTGAGAAGGGCAAGAATTCCGCTCTCTTCAATACATCTAACGAGCGTATGCGGCGACCCGGATCGGAGCGAGCAAGCAACGCACCCTCGCGAGTTCGATCGGGAGCACTCCGAACCTCCATCACGCACCCACTCCGGACCGATCTCGAGCTGCGATATTCCCAGCAGACCCAACGCGGAACTCGTTGACGCGAAATCCGCTTACGATTCCGGCTTCCCATCTCTCGAGTTCTTCTGTGCTTGCTTGAAAATGTTTCCTTCTCGTAGAAGTGTGCGTCGGCAGCGACGGAGTAAATTGGGAAACACAGTTCCCACCGCACACCTTTGTCGTCGCACAGTGGACTTCTGATCTTCTTCTATGGAAAGGGAGACGCTGAAGGGACAAAATCTTTTTCACTGTGGAGCTTCCTCGGCCAGAAGCGGCGACAACCGATTGGAGTATGTTCGTTTTCCTCTTGTGTCTCGTTTGCCTGTCATCGGGTCAGGCTAAGGCCCGATATGACTGGAGACTGAGCAAGGAGTGCACGCCTTCGGGTTCGAATCTCCACGACTTCAAGATACGGAACGTCACGGAAGACGCTGAAATCGACTTCAGACTCCTGACCGGTGGCAAGCTCACACTCATTGTGAACGTTGCGACCTACTGTGAATACACGTCGCAGTACCTCGAGCTGAACGACCTCCAGAAAAAGTTTGGACCGAGCGGATTCCAGGTGATCGGTTTCCCGTGCAATCAATTCAACAAGGAAGAGCCCGGTTCGAAAATCGAAATTTTGAATGGAGTCCTGCATGTGCGTCCCGGAAAAGGATTCGTCCCGAACTTCCCGCTCACTAGGAAGGTCGACGTCAATGGGAAAGAGCAGCACGCGATCTACACGTTTTTGAAAAATGCCTGTCCAGTGTCGCCGCAGTCGCTTTTCGCGAAACGTGAACAACTGTACTACGATCATCTGCATGTGAACGATATCCGTTGGAACTTCGAGAAGTTTTTGGTGTCTCCCTCCGGCGCCCCTCTGCGTAGATATCACTCATCCATAAAGCCGAGCCAACTAGAGGGCGACATTGAGCAGTTCCTCCTGTTCAGCAGTTTCAAATAATGATCTTCAGCTCCTACTTCAGATCCTTAGCTTCGCCGGGGAGGAGCAATTCCGCGTGTAGAAATTTTCAGTCGAAATCTTCCGAATAAAGGAGTTTCCGAACCACATTTCCGTTCTCGATGAGCGAGAGAGCAGTCGATATCTTCGAAGCTGAGCGACTCCCGAAAGCGACGCAGGATAAGCGAGGGGGATTGCCGATCCATCTCGTACGGCCCGACCTCCGACTAAGCTCACGGAAACACTTCGTTCTCTGAAGAACTGTAGACCTTCATGGTAACATATACGGTGGATACCCGCACGGCGCATACTCAGTCTGGATGGTTCAGTAACGGCGATCCGTATATCAAGCTGAAGTTCAATCCGTGGGTGGAGTGCGGCGATAGGATCCATTTAGAGCCTCTTCCGGTCTCCTTTCATGCTGAACATGTTCCTCCGTTGCTAGGTTACCCGATGAGGACCGCTCTCCAATTTTTCCTCGCGGAATGGGAAAAGTTTAGCGTCCCTACAAGTGGTATAGGGGGCAAGAGACTATATTGTGGATATTCACGGGCATTTCGTTGATATTCTGAGATCTTATTCCACGTTTACGAATTTTTGAACGGGAATGATGGTCGGCAGAGACACCACCGTCGATCCCGCTAGATCCTCCACTGGATCGTTTCGATGCGGGAAATTCGTATAAGAGAAGAGTGACGACATCCGGCCACTACTAAAGTTCATTCCCGCAGACGAATGATGACGTGCGTTCTCCGCGAATTAACGAATACTGCCATCTTGACGAGAGTTCCTCTCCAAGGCCGAAATCCGACCCTCAATTCCAGAGAGATATCGTGATCGGAACGCCCCCGTGATTTTGTGTATCTAGCGATCTCGTCTGGTGGTCGTTCCGCTCTGGAGGTTGCGGTCTAAGAGTCGACGATTTCGAGTTAATCGAGCAACTCAATTAGAGCTCCATACTTGCTAGAGGTACAGCCTGCGCGGAACGTGCACGTCACGTTTTCGGAATAACCCCATGGCCGATGGTGCAACGATTGATTGACCATGGGGCGACGGGACATGCATGAAAATTCTAGCTTTCAGGAGTAATCGGTCGCTCGTTCGCTGTATCGTTAATGAGCTCGCAGACGGTCCTGGGCGATTCCACGGTTCGGCGGAGGAAGAGCTCGAAAATCCGATAGGAAACGTGGAGACGTCGACAGCTTCTCAAGAGGAGACAGTCTAGGAGGCGAAGACGCTCGTGCGGAAGGTGGCGTGGGTTCAATCCCCGATGCCGGCAAAGTACTCGAAAATCACGAAACACACTGAGGGCAGCGGAGGAACTCGGCCTCGATGCTCCCGAGTGCATTCGCTCTCCGGAACCGTCCTTGAGAGCAATGGGAAGGAAAATGCCCGGGATGGTGAACCCTGGTCCCATCCGACAAATTCGAGCGAATGGAGCCGCCTAACCGTTGTATGATAGATCGGAGAGAGGCTGGAGGGGACTGCGGAAAATCGACTCGATCAAAAGAACCTATAGGGCTCCTATATCAGCGGACTCCTGCTTCCGAAACGCACGGCTTGGTAAGCCTGCCCCGTTATCCCAGCGAATGGAGTCCGAAGCATCAGAAGGGCCGAAGCCTGACCGGCTCGACACGGAGGAGATACCAGTGCGCCGAGATTGGGCATCTGCAGCGTTTCGGAAAAGTTATCCTTCATCACTATCCATCTATCCGACCTCAATCGTATATCGCTGTTCGGAGAATTTCCGCAATCGTGTAGCCCAAGCTCCATTCCCGCGTCGAGGTTCCTCCTAGCACAAAATTCCCTAAAAACCTCCGACGTAAACACTCATTAGAGAAGTACTGCGCAGTTCTTGCTGTTCCAGGAAGGGGAGATCGTCGAGGGGAGAGGATCATCTTCGAGGATCGCTCTCGTGTACTCAAGCTCATGCCTGTCATTCGGTTGTCGGATGTGTCCTCGTTTCAAGAATCTCGGGAAACAGATGGTGAAAAAAAACACGGAGGTTTAGCAGTAGAAATATTTCACGGTAGATGGCGTACAGCTGGTGTTTTTTTCGAGGAACTAGACATCATGCCCGGGAAATCTGGAGAATCTTACAGCAAACAAAGATCGCACCTGGTTCGCAGGAGTGAATTTACGATTGTGTACGATTGTAGATGAGTTCAGTCATCGAAGGATTCGCCGTGTCGAACGACTCATTCCAGTCATCGTCACTAGGACCTGCAGACTCGATTCTGGCCAAGCCGAAACGGTGAACCCAGTGTTTGATATCGCGGGGTGTTCGAGGAATCTATCCAGGGAGGACATGGCTCAATATTCGAGTTAAGCGCTGATTGAGACAGTTAGGAATCCTTCTGGGATCAGGGTCCTCTCGAAAACTTCGAGTCTATTGTGGGTTTATTGGCGTATTTCAAATTATAGAGGTGTTCGCGTCACGTTCTTTAGAGGGAGCATACACGGGCGCTCTTCCCCGTAATGTTTAATCGAAAACGTACACCGCGAGAACGGCACTCGTCGACGATCAGCACGGCTCTACTGTCAGCAAAGAGGGTATGATGATGTTATCATGCACGTGACGTCTGTCTAATGGGAATTCCGTCGTTCATCTCCTCCATCAGTGTACGTGAGCTCCTTAATATGAAGCATGGAGCCGAGCAATATTGATTTAGCATTCATTTTCCATCATTTCATGTCTAGCTTGGGAGTAGAGGAGCAGGTCGAGTGGACCTTGACGACAGCTAAAATCGATTGCGACGTGCGAACCGCCACTCGATGACTTCCGAAACCGTTAGGGAGTACGTGAAGATTGCCGAACTCACCGTGACCTCGCTGAGGGAATTGTTGGGGACTTCTTGGAAAACCGGAGGCATCGTTCTGTCGGAAAAGGAGCGAACAGCTAGTCTGAATAGCCAAGCGAAATATTCACGAACTATGTCAAAAGTTTGCAGTAGACCTGCCCTTCCCGTTCCCCTTTTGCCTTTGTTACCTTCTTGCCCTTTCGTATGTATCACTAGGAGTATCTGTCTCTTTGCTCCGGAGTAACCTGAGCTCAGCTGTACCCTTTTATCGTCGTGTCAACGAACGCCGACACAAGAACCTTCAACCGGATTTGGAAGGACTTCAAAAACCACTGTCCTCGTTTTCCCCGACGTACTGCGGGAGAGAACTCCGTGATTTCGAACCAGGAGACATCGATCCCCAGGCTCCAGTGACCGCGACGAATGAGCCCGGACAGCTAAGACAGAAATCTGTTTGTGTTTTATTCAGGGTTTAATACTCTCAAGGTCACCAATTGATGAGCTAGGCTTGAGCCTCCAAGAATGCCACCGCGCTTCGTTCGCAAAACTCGTTCCTGAACTTTGAGCAATGTTACCGGCATGTTTACAGAACTCAATCCCTGTCATTCCTCACCATCAAGGAGTAGTTTGTGCCTATCTACCAACAACGCTGACGTCATATCTCCAACCGGAACAGCCACGTTGAGCGCCTTGATTCGTCTTGGACTCGATCTTCCTTCGAGAATAGACATTCTATGATCATCATTCGACGAAGTACAAGTAAACACTTTATCACCTGCTTTCCGCTCATTCGACTTTGACACGAGTCCTCTTGATCGAGTAAACGTTTAGCATCGTCCCTAAGAAGGCCAACAAGGCGGCTACGGCAGCTGGCAAGTCTTGATTCAGTTGCTGCAGGATCCCACTGATGAGCGGGGCCAAGCCCCTGGACACCGAAGTCACGCTCTGGGACACCCCTTGAAGGAGTCCGATATCGCTCCCAGTACCGCGACTCAACAGAGCGTCGAGTCCGTAGACCCTGGCGAGACTTGCAGAGGCCGTGAAAACCACTAAAAACAAAATTAAGGACGACAGAGTGCTCGACAAACACAGGAGCACAAGACTGGCCGTCATGACCGCACCGGTAGCGACCAGCAATCGCACGCTGTCTATCTTGAACATGTGAATGATGGGACCGGCTAAAAAGCCCGACCCCGCAGCCACAGCTCCCGTCAATGCGATGACGTATCCGATTTCCTGCGCGGACAGAGAGTGCGTCGTCATCAGGAGAAAACTCAAATTACTCCTGTACAAGATCACGGCCAGAGTTGCCGACAAGCGCGCGATGAATAAATCCCAATACTTGGGCCAATTCACGCTTCGACAAACATCGATCACCGATTCCGGTGCGGGGTCCGATTTGGCCGAGGCGCTCCTCTTCGCCGGGCAATCCGGTAGGAAAACTTGAGCGATGACTCCCGATAGGATGAAGAGAGCTGCCGCCACCAAGCAACCGTTTTCAAAAGTGCCGATACGTGAGCCTATTAAGGGCCCTACGATGAAACCCGCACTCGAAATCGCGTTGAATCGACCCATGATCGCTGCTTGTTCCGCTTTCGGTGTGATATCGCAGAGGTAGGCCTTGCACATGGTGTTGCTATGCTTGAAGAAGCCCAGTACGCTCCGCAGAATGAAGAACGGAATTATGGTGTCGAAAAAGAAAAAACCGCTGTACACGATCCCTGACAGGTAGAACGAGAACAGCAGACATATTTTGCGGCCGTGCAAATCGCTGTAACCTCCGAGTAGGGGTCCGCTCAGCGTTTGTACTGTTCCGTAAACGGTCCCAGCGAGCCCGTAGAGGAACGGCGAATAGCCCTTGGTCTTGAAATTGACTGCGAGCAGAGGGATTATTATGGCCACAGCGAAGAAATCCACAAAGCCCAAAACGAACGGCACCCAAACTGCGAACTTGTTCCTCCCCATCACGGCCCCCTCGATCAGACGAAGCTGTGGATCAAGTCAATCTAGGAACTCCGCGGCAATGGTGTCGGTCGCTAGCTCGAGTGACATGAGCTCTCGACGCTGATGCGTGAATGAGGGTGAAGAGAGCGCTCTCTCAAGGAGATCGATCTCGGCGGCTAGGCAAGTTCGTAGAGATTCGAATGCGTTCGCCGGGTTCCCCGTTGCGATCTTTTCTCGAACTTCTTTGAGGAGACCGTACTTCTCAGACTTTCCGTAGACGGTGACAGCGTTCGCGTCCTCCTGGATCAGCCAATCGAGATCCTCATCGAAGAAATATTTGACTCCGTCTTTTTCCACTTGCTTGTACCCACTGACTAGAGCCAGGACCTCAGCCAGCTTTCCTTTCTCGAGAATAGCGCGGTTCCACAGATCGGCTTTAAGCAGCTCCGGAAGAACTTTCTTATGCAGCTGACTGGGTCTGAGGACGCCCGCCGGCGAGTTTCCGACGCTGACCCCGATTGGAGATGATTCCTTCAGAGATTTTATCTGAGCCGTTAATGCTCCATTTTCGGTGGAATACTTCGCTTGCTGCAGGACGCTGCTGACGATGAGCGGCTCCTTTGAAGTCACGTCGATTTTGACGCCTAAACTCTCGGTGAGTCGGAAGGATTCCACTGAGGTCACATCCGGCTGATCGAATTGTTGCTCGATCTCACCGAACAACTGCAAGGATCAAGCTCAGGTCAGAATCAGTCATCACGCGGATGACGGCCCCGATGTAGGCGCGTAAAAGTACAATCGAGCAATCTCCTGAGCTATGTACATTGCCTTCTGCGCCAATGGGATCAGAGAATTCTTTACGAATTTGCCCCTAGCGATCACCCTCGGCACCTACCTTCTGAAGACGTCTGCTTTTCAGAGCCAACTCCTCATAGACCTGAGACATCGTTGAACATTATCACCTGAAAGCAGGGAGAGACACCTTGGGTGAATACTCCGTGAATCTACGGGGGTCGTGGCAGTGGCCCGGCACCTCTTCGAACAGCTGGAATAGCACGCTGCGGACGACATTTGCAGCATTGGACTCCGATGGATCCAGAGGAGTCTTCGTGACGTGGCACTGTGACAGAATCGCAAGGATTCAGCCTGAGCGACGTCCGTGCTCAACGTAGATTCATGAGAATTATGATATACGACATTCATCAACAAGACAACATCTTGATAATCCGATGAAGCAGTCACATTCTGAACGCGCGACCACAACTACAGGAGATATCTGATCCAGATCTCGTGTACTCACCATTATCAAGAACTCAATCGCTGATGATCACAGAGAGAACATCGGGGGACTCCTCAAACCCGTAAGTGCATTCTCGAAGAATTCTCACGTCCCGTCAGAGTTCGACGCAACAGCTGCGTGCTCACAGAAATTCGAAGTTCAGAAAATCGACTCATGTGGGGGAATGGGCGTCTGTGTGGGTTATTGTGGCATATCGCAATCGAAGACCGGGAAAGGCCGCTTTCGCTTTTGCTGATCAAATCCGAATAAACCGGTTCTCCGACCTTCTGTTGAGGAATATTGCCCGTGATTTCTTTCCTCAGCGGAGAATTCTCCAGGAGAAGCCGAGGTTTTCCGGAACAATGCAATCTCGTACGAGCTACCCTAGACAAACTGCTCCGAGGTACTCCTGAACCGGCGGATGAAAAGCCTCTCTAAATTCTTCCTTCCCGACTTTAGACACTCGTCGTCACAGATTTATTGAGAGAGTCGAATGTGAGGTCTGATGTGAGGGGAGCTCGTGAAGGAACTCGTGCATGTCCTTGGTCTACCGGCGGGATGGTCGTGCGGTCAAGAGGACATTCCCACGACGAGGGACCTACACTATCTGTGGCTTTCCTCACTTCTTGCACTACATATCTCTCGTACTCGGCGTCGGTACTCGTTCAAGATGGTATCGGCGGCCAGATATCGGGTCGTTTTCGACACATCGTGCCGCGAAGAACTTTGCTCCCGGAGAATGGCGAGCCGACCGAGGATGTCTCCCGATTCTCCGCAAGTTCCCCCTCGAAGTTCTCGTCTGCTGGAAACGAGAACTTCATCGAATCCGGCTCCAAGAGATATGTGGAAGACAAAGCGGAAGCTACCCATCGAGGTCGTTCCTCTCGCCATATCAGAAACAGCACGTGCCCAGGAAGCTCGGACTATTGAACCACCGACTGAAGCGTTGACCGGTGATTTCTCCGAGCTAGCAAAACCATCCCTGGAGCTCGCCTCGACTGCGCCAGGATCAGGGTGCTGTTCGAGGTTCTTCTAACAATAAATCGCATCAACTAGCTCTGGAGAATGAGAGAGTAGCTACGGGGATCGGGAGGAAGGATTCCCGATACTATCCACGTTTATTCGAGTGAAGAAACATCGAGGCTTCGCGTTTCACCGCACTTGTGCGTCTTTGAGGGAATCAGCCACGAGGTAGCCCTTCCCGCGAACTTCGAGCTGTTTCGACATCCACACGGTTTCACCGTTCCCGTTCAACTTGAGATCAGGTGCGATGCGTTCCCAGATCTTCTTCTTGGGATTGAGAACGCCTTCGGGATTCGGGTAATCCGCCTCCGGTCGACCCGTCCAAGTGACCCTGAAAACATTGCTCCGTCTCAGTCAAAGTTCCTTCCACGTCCTCATAAGGTAGAGAAATCACATAAAGTTCCATGACCGAGCCTACCTGTCCCCAGGCACCGCGTTTTTCGGCGGTCTGATTGGCTCGACTTTGTCCGGGGTAGAAGCGCACATCACCATCCCCTCGGAGAGGACTCCACGCATCTTCGCAGGTTTGAGATTGCACATAACGACGACCATACGATCTCGCATCGCCTCGATGGGGACAAACTTCACCAGGCCAGAGATGACGGTTCGCGGCTTCGCTTCGCCGACATCGATCTGCTCGAGGTAGAGCGCATCAGCGTCCGGATGTCTCTCCACATTCGTGATGAGACCGACTCGCAAGTCTAATTGGGAGACGCAAACGGGCTCCTCGGCTTTGGGGGCGTCGTTCTTCGGTGCATCTTTCACTTTCTTGGCACTCTGCTTGGAAAAATCAGAACTGAAAACTCCAGCTGAAGTTTTCTATGCGTTCGGGAGCTCATCGGTAGCCTGTCGGAGCAGATCTCATGCGAACCTTTTCTTTTTCCCGTTTAGGTTGGACTTGGGGCCCGTCCGAAGATTGCTGGGTCTCGGCTTTCGTGGTCGGGACAACTTTCGGCGCAGGAGGCGCAGTTGCGGAATCGCCCGCCGAACATCGAACCGATGGCACAGAATACTGGAAGCAAAAGAGTATTTTGGAAACAAAGTCCATCGTCGCTCCTGCGATCATTTCTTCTCAGCAGCAGGCTCTTCATATTTTCTGCTCACCTGCGGTTTCCCGTTGCTGATTTCCGCTTTGATGAGCTGCTGCCGGTAGTGCTCACATTCCGAGGCGAGCGCCTCGTTCTCTTCCTTCAGCCGTGCGGTTTCTTTGGCGATCACTGAAAAAAGAATTCGAGATAGAGGGGAATCAGCAGAAGTCTGCCCGTGGAAATGCAGGCTTAGCACAAGAGTTCTCCCGCACGCGCGGCGTTCGCCGGTACAAAGCGCGGGTCGGAACTCGACGGGCCTGCGCTACAGCCACGGGGAAATGCCGGAAAGTGTCGCGAAATCTCCTCTGGTATTGAGAGTTGCTCGCCAAGCATACCGAAGGGATTCATCGACACTGACTGCCACTTACGCTCATCCCGCATGGAAGTTACTTTCGTTCGGAGGTCCGTCAGAACTTTCCGAGTCATGATTTTCTTCCCGATCGCTCTCTGCAACTGCATGCATTCAGACATCATTTCGGAGCTTTTTCAGTGATTCGGCTAAGTGATACGTCCGAGGCGAGCACCGAGGGCCACCAGCTGTGCGATTCGGTTCCACGGGTGCACGGCGATTTCTCGATCGGAAGAGCACAGAGTAGAGCCCCGTATGGTGGGAACTGCTGTCGGTGATCTTTGCCTACAGCTCGAATTTGGATCGTGCGGTCTCTCGAAGCGGAATCTCTCGGCACTCGTCATTTTCTTAATAGACGCTTGTTTCGACTCGCGGCTGGAACCGCGGATTCGGCTCGTAGTCTCCGGATCCGGGGTCGACGGAGATCATTACGCCCCATTCTTGAGAAATGAGGAAGTTCCGCCACACTGCGGGAGCTAGCGGATTACCGCGGTAGGCTCTAGCGGAGACCAGTGCGGAACCCCACCGAACAAGATTCTGTGGAGATTTTCACGACCCTGTAGCTGTGTCGTGACGAGGGATATCTCCATAGGGAATCAAGATGGAGGCCTCCCTTTGATGTGCTCGGCTCTCGGCCTCCCAGAGGTAGCCAATCTCTGGTCTTGAGAACCACAGATTCCAGCGCTCTGAGCGACTAATAAAGGAGAAGCTTCGAAAGCCTTTGGAGCTTCGTAGAGCACCGCTAGAAGACTCCGGGAACTCCCAAGGAAAAATAATTCGGGGGCGAGTGCCTGTCAACATCTGAGGAAAAATAATAGTGGGATCATGGGCAGTCGAAGTTCTCGCAGGAATCTTCTGAACGTTCTCGGGGGGTGGGAAGGGTCATCTGCGGAGGCTCGACACGGATGGCTGTCCTCTTCTTTGACCTCCACAAAGCCGATCAGGGCACCGGACGAACGCTCTGCAAGTGTGCGCCGGCTAACGGGGGTCGAGAGCTGGACTTCGGTCCGTGCGGCGGTCCTCGATGACGCGATGTGGGTACGGCTCGGCAGGGGTCGATCGTCTCGAGATCCCGCCGGCTGCACCGCAACCTAGATCGGCTGCGATCGCGGCGGCTGCAGCCAGTCAAGATGCGATGACGACATCGACGCGATTTTACGCGGGATAAGGACGCCGAGAGAGGACACTGATTTTGATCAAACTTAACGGAAGGAACTCATTTATTCAAATATTCACAGTACGGAATCACCAAACTCAACGATTGAACAACTGAGTATAATGACGCCACCCATCAATGACATCTCTCAACGGAGACTGCGCTTCGCGTCTCCCCCATACTTTTCCCCTTTTCGAAACTACTCTGCGTTTCCAGGCTAATTAAATCACATGAACTCATCAGTCAGCATTCCATTGGTTCTCCAGCTATCCACCCGATAAGACCGTCTTGATAGTTCGCCAAAGGTTTTTGGTTTCGATATACGTAAATTCTCATGCTATATCCGGAACGACTCTGAAAGAACGAGCTTTCTTTGCTTGCTAATCATAGTATCCATGAATGATATTACGAACGACCATCTCCATACTCGCTTCAAGTCACCGTAGTCGATCATTGAACGTTTTTTTTCTCTCTAGAAATAACACTCACGATCCAGTTCGACTCTGGAAGAATGACTCGAATCGGTTGAAACTTCAACCGTCTTACGAAATAGTCGACCCCGTCTCGGAGCCGATTCGTTTAAACATGCAAGCATATCCCTGGTTTTGCATGAACGCTCGTGCGATGCTTCATCGCCAGGTTTTCGAGAGAAGGCAGAACGTTTGAAGTGTCGATCAAGACGTAGGGTTCGAAACAGACTGAATATCTCAGCCTATCGATAGATAGACGGATAGATGGATCGATTGATCGCCGCACCGAATCGATGCTCGACCGACGATCGAAGGAACAACAGCAAACGAACGCGATTTTCCACGAGAAGTGTTGTCGTGAGAGCGGCCAGCGAGCTGTACGGTGAGCCTTCGGTACAGACACTCGAAATTAACCTTAGAGCTCATGAAGACGAAGTGGAACTGAGTGAGGTTGAGAGAAGGCCGGAAAGCTGTTCCGACGAAGCATGGAGCCGGAACAGTCGTGCAGCGTCGCTACACATTTGCAATAGAGCACAGGCGGCGGCGGCGACAACAGCAGCGGCAGCGGCGGCGGCGACAACGACGACGACGAGGAATTGGACCGCTCACAGTGAGAACGGGTGTTGGGTTCCGTCGTCGAGTATCAGATAGACAGACTTGTTCGTTGGCCATATAAGCCTGCCCATTCTGAGCGGATTGTTGCGCGCCGTCTCGGGGAGCGCCGGAGTGTTGCACGTCTTCAGGCATTTGGTCTGAGAATTGCCGAGACCGAACAGACCCGACGCCGTCTGCCAGAACGACAGTTTGTCGTCGCCGGCCGCGTACGAAGCGAGATATTTGCCCTCGGGCGAGAAAGCCACCGCGGTGACCGGGGACTTGTGCGCCACGATGTTCTGGCACTTGGCGGCTTTGAGTTCGTAGAGCGCGATCGAGCCCGACTTGGCACCGACGGCGATGCGTCGGGTCGCGCTGCAGTGGGTCACGTTGTGGAAGCGGCAAACAGCTGGAAAGAGTTCCTGAAGACCTTTAAGCTTAAGTTGCGATGCGTCCAGACAGTGGAGCACGATGTCCATCACTTCGACGAGCAGATCGTGCACGTCGTTCTGGACACGCTCGATGAGCAGTTCCACGATACGAATGATCTCCGGTTTCGCTCGATGGAGCACCGTCTGGGACAGCGTCGTTGGCAGTGTTTGAGCGTTCTGAGCCAACGCGTTGTAACGATGCACCTCTTTGGCCAACGTAGTGATAAAGACGGGCGGTCGTGCCGTTGCGATAAGCGATAAGGAATGCCGTGCCGACCGACACGAGTCGGCCGACGGCGTCAGAGGCAGCCCGTACGTCATGGTCGGTACGAGTTTGTCTGAGTTGCAACAGAGTTCGAGCAGTCCGATGAGGACTCGCGTCACGTCCAAATGATGCTCCCAGACGGTGAAGCCTCGTCCGATGAGATCTATGGCCGCCCGCCGGAGGGAGGTGTGAGCTGGGAGTTGGTTGCAGGCCTGGCTGAGCAGCAGGTAGCTCAGGGCTTGGGCGGTGTGTCGGGTGAGGGAAACGTCTTTGTTCGAGACGGTTTTCTTCTCGAGTTCCGCGCTGCCGTACGTCGCCCCGATGACGGCCAACAGAACGACGGCCGTGGACTGTTTCCGTTTGGCCTCGGTGACGGCCGAGAGCAGCTTGATCTTGTCGTCGTCGTCGTCCTCGGACTCCTCGCCGTCCTCGTGCGCGGGGTTGTGCGTCGCGCCCGTCGGAGCGCCGCCCGGATGTCCCGGCTGGCCGGGCAGCGGCGGCAGCTGGTGCTCGCTGTAGTTGGGCAGGAACAGCGACCAGGAATCGATGACTTTACGCCGACCTTCGGGTCCGATGCTTCGGAGTTCAGCCAGCAGCAACGCTTGCGCCGCCTCCCGAACCTCGAGGCATCGATCTTGCCATCTCCTCGCCAACATCTCCAGTTGAGGTCTCTTGTATTTGTCGCTCTTCACCAGTTCCGGCAGCTGGACGCAGTGGTGGGTGGCCAGACGGCTCCAGCCGTCCTTGATCATGTTCTGGTTGTTCTGGGCGTCCTGGGCCTGTTTGGCCGACTCGGAGCCGACCCGGCTGTCGGCCCTGCTGAGCTTCCGGTTGAGTTTGCGTCGCCGTTCCTGCTCATCTATGAACGTGGCGCTGTTCATAGACATGAGCGTGTTGGCCAACGCGACGAGGCTCAGCAGATGGTTGGTGGTGAGAGCCTTGGCCAGTTCCCAGTGGCCTTGGCTGGCGAAGCGCCGGGCCCTCTCCTCTTCCTGCAGGACTTCCTTGGCGACGTTGATCGTGACCGATCGGGCCGGACCGCCGGACGCTTGACTAGACAGTTGGGTGGCCGGATAGAGTTTATACATGTGGGTGGGCAGAAACAACGCCATGTGTCCGCTGCGTGACAATAGACCAAAGTGAGCTGGTCTGATGGGCAGGAGCAAGCCGAGCTTCGCTTGGCAAACTTGATCCAGGCCCTGGTCGAGGCCCCAAGCGTGCAATTGAGAGAGTAATAGCTGCGCGATCTGCATCGTCTGATTGGTTTCGGCGAACATAAAGCCGCCGGGCTTGGCGGTCGGGCTGTCTTTGGATTTTGCTTCAGGCACAACAGCTGACTTGATGCCGACGCTCTCTGCGGTGGCTTGCGCGGTAGCTTGAATCTTGGACGCAGCGGACTCGGCGGTGTCCTTGACCTTAGCGATGAATCCGGCCAGTGTCTTGTTGGCATCGGGCAACGATGCCAAGCTGTAGTACTTGACGTATTCCGTCTGGTTGGTGAAGCCTTGCGATTCGAGCGTTCCGGGAGTCATCTGCGAGTACTCCTCGGACAGCAGCTGCACGATAAGTGCTTCGATATCGAAAAAGAAAACGTGACTATCCTGCTGACAGCCGTCCATGGTCTGCTGTTGGGTTCGGAGGCCCTGGATGACCAGGGGATGGGCCCTGTACGGCAGAGTTGGGTCGTTCATGCGCTGGTTATGCGCCTCGAGAGTGTTGTGCAGCTGCACGAGACCACGCTGCGCGGCGTGCTTGATTGCGGAAATGTTTCGGTGCCGGAGTCCGCGCAGCAGGTGGAGTGCGGGGTTGGAGATTTTCTCTCCGGTCGCGTTCACGTTCTCGTCGCAGGCGTTCAAAATGTCCTCGGCCATCATTCCCTGAATCACCCGGTCCAGATGGCACGTCTCCATCTGCCACACGTACACGGAACCGTCGGCGCAGCCGACGATCATGAAGTCGTCGAGCGGCCTCCATTTGATGTTGGTCACCGGGAAGAGATGGCGCGACGCCAACAGAATGCATTTGCGGTCCTTGAGGTGCAGCAGCGACACTGCGTGATCGGCCCCGATACTGCAGATGCATTGGAGGACGCGCTGGCTGCACGAGTCCGGCGGAACTTGGAGTAATTGTATCTCCCCGGAATGGACGGAAAAACGGTGCAGCAACGACCCGCTGTATAGATCCCAGAGACAGACGGAGAAATCCACCCCACCGGAGACCAGGTGGGCGACATCGTATCGCGTGTTCACGTTGTGCGGATACAGCAGTGCCGTCACCTTGCCCTGGTGGCCGCCGAGCGTCAGCAGTTGGCGGTTCGCGAGATGTTTGGCGCCCCATAGGATCTGGGCCATCACGCAATGGATCACCGAGATGATGACGATCGAGCCGTCGGACCGACCGCAAGCGAGCTGTCCCTGAATCGGAAGGTAGGCGCTCGCCGTAATATACGCTCCCGGGATGTCGATTCCGTCGAGTATACCCACGGGCGGCGGGTTCAGCTGATCCCAGCTCGCCTGCAACGACGTACTGTATACGGCCGGCAGAAGAACCGGCTGTGCGAGGGAAACCAGCTCGAGCTCATGGAGTTTCCAACGGTACACAGCGCCGTTCGCATCCCCTTGAATGAAATGTTTCTGCAGAGTGTCTCTGGTCAGGAGGAAATAGTTGCTCGACGGCGGATGAACGAGATTCGGCTCGGCAGTTGCTTGCAGCACAGCTATGCAGTTAGGCTTTTCCACGTTAACCGTATGGAACTGTGCCGTTCCGGGCACTGCTTTCTGCGGAATCTTGTAAATATATCCCTTGCCGGTGTTTGTCCACGACAATATCTGATCGGTGGAGAGGAAGCGGCCGCCCGCCCACCGTTCGCCGTTATACGCCTCCTGGGAACACAGATGGGAAAAGTCGCCGGCGTCGTATACGTGCCAGGCGAGCGGACAGATTATGAGGACCGTGCGCTGGTTGTACATGCAGCACGACAGACCGACGGCGTGGTAACAGTCGATCGGTTTCGACTCTCCCTCGAAGAGGACTTTTCCGTTTTGAAGGGCCTCCTGTTCGTCGACTCGCCACACCTGCGGATTTGAAGAACTTGAGCTCCGGAACGAGACTGTCGGTGGATGGGAACCGACGTTGTGCTCGACGATTCTATCTCTGATATTTCGTGTTCGCTATGACGGATCATTCCCTGCCGCCGTGACGTCATTCGTATAACTAACCTTCATATAACCGGTGGAGCTCAGAGCTACTAGAATATCATCGTTTCGTTTGACGGGATGAATAATGTCCATGGCCGCAATCCAGTCCGAGTCGACTCTCGAACTCAGCGTAAACAGAACCGTCAAACTGCAATGCGGATCTCGAGTCAGGTCTCGATTCGTCTCGCGCAAATTCAAGGCCACGGTTTCGACGCTCACGCGCCGACCGCGAGCGTATCCGTGTCGGAGCGACGCCGACAGAGCGAAAATAACTTCAGCTCGGACTGCTGTTTCGCTCGAACATTAATAATTTATTTCATTCCGTTTCCGGTGTCGAGTTGAGCTCTCACCTGACCATGTCCATGACGATGATCTCTGCATAATAGCCGCAACAGAAAAGCCGTGGGATTTCGGCCCCAGTAAGTGTATACGCCCGAATATCTGTGTGAACTTGCTGTAGCTTGACAGCCTCTACGCAGCGACAGTCATTCATGTCCCACAGTGACATTTCGCCGCTCTCGGAAGCCGATACCAACAGCTGCTGGTTCGTCAGATGATTTCTCTCGGTAGCGAGACAGACAACCTGAGGAAAAGATGCAGGAACGATTTTCAATTATTATAATTGACACAAGGCGATAAATCCGAGATTCTCCGGGAGATTCGAGAATCTCCCTCCTCAAGGGCTGTCCTCATCAGGAACCAACGGGATTATTTTGATTTTGATTCCATTGCTCTTCGTTACGGATTCGAATGGGGTGTCATTCGATCAGAATCTGCCCTTACCTTCGACGTATGTCCGTGTAACATGACTCGGGGGATCAGCTGACCCCCACAGTCGTCCCAAATGCAAAGATGACCCTCATGACTCCCCGTGACCAGGGTAGTGTTATCCTTGGAGAGCACAAGGCAACTGACGGAATGAGCGGGAGCTTTTTTGCCCCAGATCGTCATCGGCACAACGAGCTGACTCGAGAGGGCCATTTTCTTGGGATATCGACAAACCTAGCCACGTACGGTCACACACTCAAAACTATTCACAGGCAAATCGCTCCGCAGTCACGTAACGGAAGGTCTCAGCAGCCTCGGAGCAGGTCGTCTTTGACAACCACCCCCACCTCGCAGCATTTCGAAACTCTATGGACTCCGCTTCTGAGCATTGTGGGAACGAATGCGAAACTTCAACGCAGAGACCCGAAAATTGAATACGCAGCCCCTTAAATTGAAATGAAATCCCGAATCGTCCCGCGAACGCGGAGTTTCCCACCACGGTAGAGAGTGCGATGGTGCTCTGCGGTTCTTGCGGCTGACATCACTGCTGCTGCTTGATGGTGGTCACCTGACAAGGAGAGAGGGCGCCACTAGCGCAAAACACGAGAGGGATACCGAAAGGCGCCAATCCATCGGAAGAGCCTTCGTATGCTCCCAGACACTCGGACAATCCACAGAAATTCAGAAGAGCTGTGTATAAGACATTGCTGCAGGCTGCATGGAGAGCGATACTCTCTGACGTTCAGCGGGCACATATTTCTATGCTGACCGTATGAGATCGCGGAAAAACTGATTTCCGAAGATTAGCCCTCCGCCGGCTTCCTGATATCCAACGCGCTTCGCTGCTCGTCGGAAATTCTACCCTGCTAGATGGTGTGAGAAAGAGAACAAGAGGAACTGGTATTGCTGGTCAGCCAACCCCACCTCGTCGCACTGAAGGTCAACTCTTTTCTGAATTGAGCACCTTTTTCCGTGCCTCGCTCGAAAAACGGTCGGTCACTACGGAGAGCTGCCCTCGCTCGAGACCGATCATGGATGATCTGTCCTCCCCTCAATTCAGCCCAGCAGCTGACGCTCATAATCGTTGAATAAAGAGAACATTGCGTAGAGTTGGAAAGCAACGGGAGAGCGCTTTTAGATTACAAATTGGGATTATTGACATCGACCTTCAATGACGACCTTGCTCGTCATGCAGCCTTCGACCTTCTACAAATGATTTTCGTACACACGAACTTCTTTATTCCCTTTTTCTGCGCCGTCTCCAAGCCGATTGCAGACCCTTAGACCTTCTCAAAGATGCGATATATTTTTCGAGACATCCGACATTCCTCCCGACTTGACCATTCAGAGGGAGGCATCGGGACCGAGGAGATGCATGAGATCTGCATCATCCAAAGTCTGTTCCTGGTACCCAAGGATCTTGTACTGCGTTGTTCTCCCATTGTCTTCTACCTGCAGGTGCGTAACGTCATCTCCACTCGCAGCCCGAAGTAATTGAATGGCAATGTTCTCATCGATCTCGTTGATTCCTGAGGAAGAATTTCCCAAGGATTAATTCCCTTTTGGTTAATTCTCAGAAAGACCTCATTCGCTGAATTATCCGTCGTGGGAAAGGAGTTTCTACTATCGTCTGTGGAGCGTCTGCTCCGAGTCTCCGATCGTAAGCTTACCGTCTTTACCGCCTTCGACCTCAAGACTGAAGTGCGTGTTTCCTCCGCGCATGGAGATGACAGCAACCCCGCGGCTCAAATCTCTTTTTATCGACACGACGCCTTCTTGGCCTAGGACCGGAGAGCCTTCATCTGTCATGTAGATAGTGTCGTCCTCACTGGAAGCGGAAAGACGAGCGTGATCTTCAACGTCTCGGAACAGGAAATCGAGACTGCGTTCGTTCGATCGCTTTACTCACCCGACTTGATCTCCCGGCTGCAGATGTTGAACGGCCTGGTTGCTGTTGTCAACGATCAGCTGGTCGGCTGTCATGCACTCGTGAGTTTCGAAGTCGGCCTCGTTTTCGAAGCCCTTCAGGCAGCCAGAGCAGTAGAGTCTGACGTCCTGCGAGCCTCCTTGATGTTTGATGTAGTTCCTGGGCTGAGCCACCGGAGCCGCGGTAGGCTCTATCTGGACGTGGCTCTTGATGTGGGCGTCGAGGGACATCTCTTTGAAGAACCTCTTTTCGCAGGTAGGACATTTCAAAATCTTGTACTGCGTCGTTCGGCCGTTGTCCTCAACTTGCAGATGGGTCACGTCATCCCCTCCAGCGGCTCGAACCAGCTGTAAGGCGATGTTCTCGTCGATTTCGTTGATGCCTGAAGTGAGAATCGAATTTTATTGTGAGACAGAGCTCCGCGAGAGGCTGAAAACGAATATGTTTCATTTCATCAGCGATCGAACAACCGGACTAACCGTCTCTCCCGCCCTCGACCTCGAGACTGAGCTGGCCTGAACCCTCGCGAACCGAAATCGTTGCGACACCGAGCGCCAAATCTTTCCGAATTGAGACCAAACTTCCTGGACTGATAAGAGCCGTCGCTGGCTCGGTGATATAGACAGCGTCTTCGTCACTGCAAGGAATTACGGAGATTCAGTACGTCGATACCGAGAGGAGCTGCTGATTGAATCATTGTCCGCACGCAAAGGAGCGACATCTTACACAGCCTGTCCCGATTGGATCTGCTGAATAGGCTGGCCGTTGGCGTCCACGATGACTTGATCCGAAGAACTGCACTCATGATTTTCGAAGTCAGCTTCGTGATCGAATCCTTTCAAGCAACCTGAACAAATCAGACGGACTTCCAGCGGCCCTCCTCCGGCTCCTTGACGGTGCTTGAGGAAGCTTCGCGAGCTCAGTAACGAAACGCCGCCACCCGAAGTCTGGCTGTTTCCTGACTCGTGACTCTTCATGTGGATGTCGAGGGATTTCTTCTTGAAGAATCCCCGCTCACAAACAGGACATTTATAGTCACATTCGCCGCGATGGAGTCGTAGGTGGTTATAGAGACCAACCTGCGACAAAGAAGAATGTTTGTGTTAATGTTCGGATTATGAATTGTAAATTTTTCTATATTTCTACCCGGGGAACGTTTCGGAATCTTCAGAATTTCCTACCTTGGTGCTCAAGCGACGGTTACAATTCGTCCATGGACACGGCGTTGGGGGAGCGTGGAGTTCCATATGAGCGACCAATTGCTCATTCTGTAAGAACCTTCGGTGACATTTGTTGCATTCGTGAACGACACTATGCTGTGACAGATGAGACCAAAGAGCTTGGGCTGATGACGCTTTCGCCCCGCAGATCTGAAACAAGGATTGAGGGTGATGACTCTCGATGTCAGATCTCTTGTCAGGAACGATATGGAGCGAAGTCCCGCTCGGATAGACGATTGTGCGCTAAGCGATTTCGGATCTCACCTCGCAGATATTGGCCATCTCCGGATGCGCGTTCTGGATATGATTTCTCCTCGGAGCGGGCTGAACAAAGAGCTGCCCACAATGCTGGCACTGATACTGATGGCTTTCGGTTTCCATGTGACGAACGAATGTAGATAACAAACCGTGCCAGGTATGACAGACACGGCAGCGGTAATTCCGGGGCTCGGTCCGGTTGTGTTTGTCCTGTATTTTCATGTGCTGGGTGGCATGCTGGGCGCTCACGAAGTGTTCCTGGAGATCTTCAGCCGAATCGAACACCATGTCACACATGGCGCAGAAGTGTTCCCCTCTGGAAATCAGGACGCCTCAGCTTTCTTGCTCTGTGATCCGCATTGCGAATCACCCTGCCCGTTCGACCTTGTAGAGATGGAATATGTGTCGCGGAGAGAAACCTACCTTTGGTTGTGGATTTTGCAATGAGCTTGGAATGCAGCGGTGTCTTCGAATGTGTTCGAACACGACGTCACAACGCAGATAAAGCGCTTCTGCATGCCATGGAGATTGTGCATATGGAGATAAAACAGTGTATAGTTCTTGATGACAACGTCACACAAATGACAATAGTGACCGACTTTGTTTGGGAAACCCAGCGAGTTCAAGCGGCTGTCTGATGGCACTTCGCTACGCTCCAGCATAGCGCTCGGATCCATGATAATTTCTGTGGTATCGTTGAGCGGACAGATCTGAAATGAGTTCATCGAGGATCGCTGTCTCACAACGGAACGCATGCACGGTGATTTATTGCGCGATGGAAAAGCGGAACGTTCTTCTTGGTCGATGCCTACCTGCGTCGTGACTTCGGGAACTTCGTCCGCCGGGCGTACTGTCCTTTTGACCCATTTCATGTGAACGTGATGGAGATGCTGGTTCGCGTGGTCGGAACTCTTGAGGGTCATGTTACAGAGGAAACAGACAGTTGCGGACTCGTCCAGTCCCTCGGCGTCGTTTTCCGCGTACTCCTGGAGGCCTAGAGCGAATTCGAGACGTCATTAGGGGGCTTCATCTTGCGCAGCGACCCACATGGGAATCAATTCTCCGAAGAATCTATTCCGTCAACGGCGATACGGCCCAGCCGGAGTAGGGTGACGGAACTCACATTTGCCATCCATCATGTGCTTCTCTACTTCTTCTTTCTCCGAGAAAACTTGCTCACAATGGAAGCATTTGAACATCAGACCGCTCGGAGACTTCTTGCTGTCCTTGCGCTGAAGGTCCGGACATTTCGCGATGTGCTGCAGAAGATCGTCGTGGCTACTCGTGGGCTCTAAGCACTTAGCGCAAGACCACAGTGAAGGTCCGGTCTGGACGGCGTGAGATAGAAGCACATGTTTCATGAGGCGCTCCTTGCCGTGAACGTAGACCGAGCAGACTGTACATTGTAGATGAGGGCCCGGTTGCCCGTCCAGATGGCGTTGTTTCACGTGCGCCTTGAGTCGTCCCGGTCTCGGTGTGCAGTAGTTGCAGTACTTGCACACGAACGTCATCCGATGATGAACGGCCTTCATGTGCTCGTGATGCTGTTCGAAACAGCTCGACGAGAAGTTACACATGGAGCAGTAGAAGACCTGCGACAAATTGGAGAGTTGTCCTTCGAACACGTGACGGATTGTACGTTCATGCATGGTGGTGTAGTGCTCGCGAACTTCGGAGAGCGTCCGTAGAGTGGCACTGCAGAACCTGTTTGAGAAGAGAAGCGTATGATGTGAAAGGAATGGTCAAACCACAAGCGCCACGGACAATGACCCGTCTACGGCCGTATTATCGCAGTCGACGTCCCGTAATAATCGGTATTAATGGGAGCAAAGCATCCTGGATCGGGAAAAACTCACTGGCAAGCAGATTTCAGCAACGTTTCTTCGGTTACGTCGTCGGGTAAACAAATGAACACAGCGTTATCGGAGAATTCGGCCTTGGCGGAAACAGCTTGGATCTCGTGGATGACGTGATAGTGCTTCTCCAAATCGATGAGAAATTTGAATGTGAACTTTTCTCTGCAGAAAAGACACCTCATCGGCTCTTGGGAGGAATGAATTTGTCTGGAAGGAAAATGGAGAATAGGACTTGAGTTCACCGACTCGATAGATCGTTTCCGACCGATCGATAGCAGAGGCTTCGGGAACGCACCTGAAAAGATAGTTTCCCTGGAGACCTTCGAGGTTCTCCGCTTCCCGGAGGGGCAGGTCGCTCTCTATCAGCTGAACCTGATTCGGGAGTTTTTGCATCGAGTTCATATCGACGAAGTCCGCAGTGCAGTCCTCCAAAGTGATGACTGTTGTTGGTGGAGTTGATGAAATCGCTGGAAATGTTTCAGCTCATCAAACACTGATGAATGTTCCCAAGAAGACCTCGGGCCCAAAATAACCCTGACCGAGTGGATGTGGGGAGTCTGAATGTGAGATCGACGAAGCCCCACCCCGATGGATCCACTCACGTTTTTTCTTCAAGGCATCGAATCTCGTTAGATCCTTCTTTGCCGATGCAGAGCCGACGCTATTTTTATCCGGTGATTGCTCGTCGTCAGCACTCTGATCCTGAAATCGGCGATCGATTGCAATGAATACGTCCCTCATGATCGATAGGAGACGCTGATCAATCTCTACCAACAAACGTTTTCCCCGTCACGCAGGATCGGTGGTCCAGCTGCTCACCTGGGATTGGTTTTGGGAATTAAGCATGAGAGCCATCTTCTCTCTAACATAAGGCATTTTCTCGTCGGCTTTCTCTACCGCCTTGGCTCTATCGGTGGAAGCGTTTCCGACGATCTCGATCGTGACTCCGTCTTCAGCCACGACGAATATCCGGTTCTTGCGCGGCTTCGGATTATTGAAGAGTCTATTCCGACCCTTCTTCCGAGCCATTATCTTCCGTTGCTCGGCTGTCAAGCCGTCTTGCAATCGCGAGGCGCTCGTCGCTCTCGTAGTCATCGATCGATCAGGAGAAGAACGTAAACGACCTGAAAGCAGAAAAGCGGAATCAGCATTATGTACACAATTATGCTAATGAATTGCAAAAAGAAATCTACATCGGAAAGAGCGGGAGCTAATTCATGAATCGCCACGCTCACGCATAGTGCGAAACGAAAACGGAGAGACCGGAACGGTGTTAAGAAACTACGACTGGAACGGAGCATTTTGTTCAGATCTTGAATGAGATCAGTGGAGTGGTCTTCCCCGTACGCGATCTGCCAGAACCGCGGCGAAGGAGCCCGATGCTTACCGAAAGATTTCCCCGAGGACTTCGAATGCTGCTCTGGTTCATACTCCTCATCGCCATCGTCGTCGACATCCTCATCTTCGTCAGCAGGATCCTGCAAATCGAGGGATGGGGGATCAATGAAAGTGAGGGATTCCTTACTGATATTGGTACTCTGTCGAAAATCCAACCCAAGGGGCTCAGTCAAGCTCCATCAAGGCATTCGTGACAATATGAGACTCACTGTCTGTTTCTCGGACACGGCCCCGTCTGACACCTGGGTCACGTCATTCTCATCGTTGAGTCTGACGACTTCGACCTACGAATAGAATTTTTTTAATTAATTTTGTTCCGCGAAAGGGAGGGGATCCTCAAGACCCCGCTTGCTGATTTCCCGATGTCCCGATGGCCTCCAACGACCGGAAGTTGGGAGAACGCTTTTGATTGAGACTTTCGGAGCTCACCTGAAGCGTCTTTGGGTCACTCTGCATAACGACAATGCCCTGGGAGTTCTGCAGGAGCGATAATTGGTCGCTGTTGACTATGAGGACCTGGAACCGGGGAGCTTTCGTCAAGGATAGAACTCGCTTACGGAAGAAATCTAATCCTTAATTCGAGATCAGAGGTAGAACGCTCCATAGCTGAGCCGTCTCTCAGACCTGTTGGCCGCTTTCAACAACGGCTGCAATCGTCGATTGATTGAGAGGGGTCGCCAAAGTTTGTGTTCCACCTGCCGCCGGCGAGGGCTGTGCTGGTCTCCTCTGGAATGACGGTTATGTTGGACTTCGATTCCGGAATTGAATTATACACTCGGACTCCTGGTCGACCTAGACTTTCTCAACATAAGTCGACGATACCTTTCGCTGCAGAATACTCGGTATACTTCTCCTGCTGGTCTCGTCGTCCCGATTCTGGAGGGGCATAGGCATGCTGCTGCGCATTGAAGTTGACAAGCGCTTCAAGAAAACTGCGCATGCTGGAATCGGGAAAAATACTTAGCTTTAGACTATCGATTTCCGAATTCATGAACCAAGGACACGGCCAAGATAAATACTCACAATTGTGCTCACCGATCGCTACATAAACGCCGAATTAGTATCTAGCACACGCAATCACCAATAAAATAAATAGAAAAAACTCAGAGCTGCTGGGAAGTTGTCTGACGGCAAGCTAAGAGTCTCACCTGCTTTACTCTGGCGTTGCTTCCGCGGTCTACTCCCCGAAGAAGGTCCCGGTTCGGGCTTCTCCTCAAGGCTCGGATCTCCGATTGCCTGCATAGGAATGAAAATGTCATAACCGAAGGGGCTGACCCGATTTCACCACGGCGGGATTCCGAAGCTCAATTAGCCCGTGGTACTTCGGTACCGACCTTGAACACGTCGGAGTCATCAACGAGCATCTCGCATTTCCTCATGATGCAGATCTCATCTTGAGCACCTCCGCTTGTCTTCCGCTGGCATGGAACACATCGGCGACAGTCTGCGGGGCGAAGTATCCGTAAGAGTCCCGATACCAAAGATAAGAATCGCACATGAGAGCCAAAGATGGGGAAGGTCATAAAGACCATTATGTTCTGCCTTACCTTCTGTTCGAGAGCAACCATCGCACTTCCTACAGCCGCCTTGCGCTTCGGCAGTTTTACGTTCTTCCTCTCGTCGCCGTTCTCTCTCGGCAAGGTCCGCCTTCGAGGGACGTCCTCGTTTCTTCGGCGGCTCGGCTGCGGATACCAAGAGCTTTCAATAAAAACGTGGCAGAAAACAGGAGGGTTCACGATACGGGAAATATCCTCCCCATTGCCGGGATTCCCAATAGGTGCGCCACGACCTAATGGACTGACCTGGAGAGCTCGTTTGTGGCTGCTCCTCTTCGTCGGGCTCCTCCACCTCGGTATTGTCCTTGCATTGCTTCTTATGTTGGATGAAACCGTCGAGATCGAAGAAGCTACGCTCGCATCCGCCGCACTTGAACTCATCTGAGGAAAGAGCCGGCATTATTTCCTCGACCTTGGCACAACCAAAGACGAACTTTCCTCCGCAGGATTAGGTTATATCATGGATACCCGGACGGAGAGCTCGATTCGGCATCTAAATTTTCGATGCTTCTTACCTCCCGCCGGTTTGCGTTTCCTCGGGGGCATCTCGTCTGAAATTCAACGAGGATGGATTTGAAACTACGTACGAGGGACGAATGATCGGTTCTCGAACATTTAATCTATGGAATGTGTTGTACATCCAAGGAGCCGCTCCGGAAATCGCTTTCCGTCATGAAAAGGAACTCCCCGCTTTCACTATCAGACAGTCGGTCTCCCTTGGCTCAGAGTGACCCGGCCGCCGACGCGGCTCTAGACCGTTTCCCGCCCAAAGAATAGCCACTCTTTGAAATTCCCAACACCCTTCCCACCTCGATTCCTATCCCGTTTCCCTGTCCTTCTTCGCCGTGGGAATCGTCCCCGCTCCTGTATTACATTTCCTACTGAGATGTTGTCGGTCGGAACGAGAATTGATTCTTAAGCGCTGACGGATGCTCCCAGTATAGTGTGTTCTCCGGAGTTCTCGCACTTGCCGTCGATGACGGTTAGCGTAGTTTGGAAGGATATCGATCCTAGCACGTCGGTATTGAGTCTACACGCATGGAGCTCTGGAGAAAGCGCTCAGCGACGGTGTTCGTAACGGACCTTTGCCTACGTTCTCTCAATGAACGGAATGAATGGGCGACATCTAATCCTGTCAGCCGCCGACGCTATATAAGGCTGACGAATTTTCGGCATTGGATATCGGTCACGACCATGGACTTAGAGGCATCGGGCTTCACTGAGCCCGAGACGTGGGATACCAGATAACTGTCACAAACGTCGAATTGTATTTTAGCGCCGGCTGTCATTCCATCTTCAGCTGCAGGCCTTTAGAACATTTTCGCCCGAGACAACCTCACAACGGCGCCCTAGTCGGCCATTACGAAAAGAGGCTCTTCGACGAAATAACTATCGACTACTTTGGATTGACAGTCAGCCGCTCGAGAAAATCACGGTTCTTGGCTCAACATACCCGATAGGATCCCTCCGACCGATTCACAATACACGTCTGCGAAATCTGCCTCGGTAAAGAGCGAAAAAAATTTCTTACAATATAACTCGGCTTGTTTACAAAGCGATACAGGGGGCGCCAGGATCTCAGGGTTGCTGTCATCATAAGGACGATTTCGAAATCTCTCGTCTCGATGCCAGCGTCCTCCTGAATAGAAATTGCTCACCTCGACGAAAGACTCGTGATAGTTTCGTAGAGCGATTTCAAATCGACAGTGAGTCGGAGAAAAAATTATTTGATTTGAATCGAAATCGTCTGCTACAGAAATGGCGCCAAGCGCCAAGCCGCCAAGAGAGGCCCCCATGAACGCCCTCCGGTGGAGGGGAACGCGACTGACTCGAATTCACGGGGATGCAATGGATTTGGAAAGAAGACCTTTCCGAAACGATAGGCATCTTGACAGATTATCGCTGAAGGATCTATATTCCCCAAAACGAAACGGAAGTCGCAGTATCCGTTGTACGACCCCCCGAGATTCGGAAATGAGAATGGAATCCCTGCATACACTTCTAACAGACGACAGGGACGGGCTACGATCTTGCTCGGAGAATGAAATTACTATGCGATATCGAGAATTACTATACGGAGGTGGAAGCATCATATTATGATGTCATCACACAAACATCGCGAGTGAGCGGCCGGAGTGACGGATCTATTTCGCTGCTCCTACCATGTCGAGAGCCATCCAAGATGATCTTCCCGAATCGACATCGATCACAGCCCGACAGCAAAATTGCAACAGAAGAGTCGAGGCCTAGGTTGGGCTAGTTCGGGATCCGGGAGTCCGAATCCGCTTACCTTCTATCCCGACTATTGTTTGCGAGTTATCTGCATTTTTTTATTTTTCAAGTTTTTCGATTTCCTATCGGCGAGAGCTAGAGTTATGTTAATATTGAAAGTCCGGCAGCGGGTGGACTAGGCCTCGGGCCAACTCGGGTGGAAACATCTCAATCGGAGCCAAGTTCTCCGAGAGCCATAACAAGCCTCTCATGCTAAAATAATGTCGAGAATCGAGTGAATTCTCAGCATCAGTGCCCCTAACTCTCAGACCATGGCTCCGATCGGGACGAAACCACCAAGGATGGTCCGAGGCCTGGATTACTCGCCACCTTTCATGGATCCGGCTCGCGCGGTAGCGGAGAAAATTGCAATATAACACGGAGACAAGAGCCAAATCGAGAAAACGGTCACTGGAATCGGAATCTTGAACCCCGATCGAGGCTCCACGTATAATCGGGAGGAAACCGATCGAATGAAGAAACGTTCACATCAGACGAAGCTGAATCGTGTGTACCTCGATGATTCTGATGAATCAAACCCTAAGAATCCTGTGGGGCAATCGAGAATACGTCTCACGTCCTTAGTCTCGGTAGTGTCTCCGTCACCAACTGCCGGGGGCTTTTTCGTTGTCGGGCTGTGAAATCAACATGGTGGAAGCGAACGGTTGGCAATGAGGGCTATCGAGATCGGCAGGGAAAGCATGGACTCGTTCAGGATTTTGAATGGTACAAAGTAAACAGATTATTGCGTCCGCGTACTCCGCGTCGCAACCCAGAGAAAGATGACAGGAGAGATATGGACGAGGTCATTTGACAAATTTCGCGTGAGAGGAGGTGTGGTGTAAGCAAAGCTGAGAGGCTCCTCGAGTTTCCGTTGTTTGAGAAGAGCGCTCCTTTTTCGGAGAAAATACCTCATCTTTCCATAGATTCTTGGGGGTTACCTTCGCCGGCCGTGGTGCGGTGATCATCGGTTCGGAGATCGCGCCGCAAACTGATCGCTCTTATAGGACAGAGAGCGTGGACTGAAGCCCAGTTCCGCCAACCAAGCTGCATCGCCGATCGCCAAGGTAACCGAGCTCTCAATCTCACCAACATACTTTCCAGAACATAGAAGAACTCAGGTGGGGACGTCCGTCCACGAATCAAGTACAGATCCGACTCCACGAAGCGCTGGCATCGGCGTCGTGAGCTCCCTGTACCTCGGCCAATGGAGGAAGCTTGCCGTGGTCCACATGCGAAGGCTCAATGATCACACTTTACAATAAAGTTAGGCCCTTAAGTAGCTTCTCAAACAGCCTCCTCCGATGAGAGAAACAGTCAGTCGGTAACCACTGAGCCAGCACCCGGGCCTCGATTGTACCCACATTATAGATTCCAATAAACACTGCGGAAAAGCTCCGTGGTTTTTCCTTGGAGTTGAACACAACATCTGGCGTAGAAGAGCGGCTTTTGAACAACGAAGATCGTGGTATGGATGATGCTTCAACGCTGTCGGAGGCTAAGGTTGACCTTGCTCTGCTGCTCGGTTCGCTGCTTTAGGATTCGGAACAGGATCTTCCACATCAGGGAACTGCCGTGCGCGCAGAATCCATCGATTCTCAAGAGTTTACCTCAGAGGAAAACTCGGGATTCGGGATCAAAGCTGCTCCACTGAGGATCGGATCTGAATGGATATTTGAGGCCACTCGGTGTTCTCAGTCGTCTTCCCCGGCTCGACCGGCGGGGAGGGCTACGTAGACTTAATCGACATCTAGACTATGGCGGTCGGGCCTACGGCGTCAATCTTCCGTCGGCGTCATCCTCTGCCAAGCAGCCCGGACCACTGCCTCGACGAAGTCACAAGAGATCAGCGATGGTGCCAACTCGTGAGAGGATCAGCTCAGTAGAATGGACGTCGAGTTTGGTGATGCCGCTATCGTGGGCAGTTCCGGGCTCGGAACCCCTGTCGACCGATATTTCTTGTCGGGAAATTGAGTTTCCTAATCATTCAGAGAGTAAGTTTTTAGGCAGGCCCGATGAGAGGGGTGTGGTAAGGTACTTCTCTCCCCGGGCTTGGAGGTCCTGGAGGGGCCCCGAGCCCAGAGCATCGAAAAATTTCTGGGTCTAAGGTCGATATATCTAAAGAGCTTCGCCTAACCCAGTCTTCCTTCGCCTTTTCCGGGAATTCCTCTTAAAATACGAAGTTAGAGATGCGAGACAACCATGTAGTGGCACCCTCGTCTGAATTCTGCCCGGGCTCGAAATTCCTCTCCTTGGCCCTGGTTTTGGGTTAAAAAAGTCTGGATTGCACGGGGAGGCAATAGCACTCCCGCTGGTAACATCTCGCTGAAAGAATTTGAATCTTGATGAGCAGGGAGTAGCTCAAGATTTTCCTCGTTCTGAGCGACGCTGCTGGTCAGTGGTTCAGGAGTCTCTCTCAATCGACGTCAGACCCGACTAAACGGGGAACCAACCGGTTCCCCGGCGCTGGGAAGAGCTTTGAATCGCCTCCTCGGCCGAGCTGTCGAGAAGCTTTGAATGATGTTTTTCTACAAACTTTTTCCACTGGGTCTTCTTACACGTCGGTATATGTATTACCCTCATTCCCTGCGGGAGCTGGCGCCCCTGAGCTGGCTCATTCTCAGCTGAGTTGTTCGCTTTGCCGCACGCACAGCGATAAGGTTCGCTCATTTTTCGTCTGAAATACCGCTAAACTGGGTAACTCGACGAGGGATCATCGGTGATCGATGCCACCGAGTCTCACCGCGTCAGTAGATGGGCCACAGCGGAATAGTGCTGGTGGGCTCGTGGACGATTCCATATGGAAGCAGCACCGGTGCGGTGGCAGTACTCCGGTCCATAAGGATGGAAAGGAAATGTTATGGAACATTAACCGGCTCGCTAGTGTCCCTAGCCCGATGAAGAATCGTGGATCAATTTCCGAATTCTCGAAACTTTTCTCTGGTCATTGCTTCAGCAGGTTTCCGACTATATGAAACTGGGCTTTCACGCTTCAATGGTAATTGCACCGGTCGGGCTTTTGTTCGAATGTCCGTCAATAAGACTGGCGGAGCAAGGCAGCGATAGGCGAGAGTAGACGCTGACAAAAAACCTGCATGAAGTCATAAGAGTTTGCTCTGTGGTTCTCCGGTCACTTGATACCTGGATTGGTCGCCAGGCTGAGGAGGCCAAGAGCTGAAATTTTCTTTGCAGATCTGACAATCAGCCATTGAGAGATGAAGAGCAGTGAAATCGACGTCTTTCTCCTACTCATCATTGCGCATACAATACGTGAC